GTTCAACCAATTCAACTAATTATTACTTAATCGTTTATTCAGAATAATACTCAGTTCTCAACATGTGAACCGCATTTTATAATTCAAACCGACCATTGTTTGTCAATTAATAGTCAAGTACGGATCGGAGTGAGCTGCATCGCAGGGTGAATTCATTCAACCGATTCGGTACAAAAGAAAACGCACCTCATTTTAGATTTCGATCGGAAAAGAGACGTTTGTTGATTCATACCGAATTGTGTGTATTTCGTAGGGTTATAATTTCACAAGGCGGTGCTCGGTCGAGGATAATATTTCATTGCTAATAACTGTTAGAATACGGTTAAATTGTTATTCATACAACAAAATATCTCATTTGAAACAAGTTTGCAGCATTCCCTCACACACACAGGATAGTTTGTGGAACACTTCATTATTCGATGCGCATTTTTATATTTACCATACCGAACAGCAGCAGTTTGCTCCAACAGGTCTTGCTCATTTTTGGTCGTTGAAAGAAACCGCTGATTGTGTCGTTTTGCGTACTGCTCACAAATGAGTAGTATCTCACAACAGTAGGATCGTTTCTTGACTTGTTTCACATAAGAACCTCAACGCTTATCGATGTCCAAACTGGCCTGTGTGACGCGGAGAAGAAGATAGATGATCTGAGAAGTGAACTCAGGAGAAAAAATGTGGTGTGGCCTTTAGGAAAATTCCGATGAAATTCAGAAAGGACCAGATCTTTGTTTATCAGTGCACAGACGGGAGACGACACTGGCGAGTTTCAGTACAGTACAGATTTGTCACTATCTAAGGAAGCAATGCTGACTCCAAACGGCCCCAATTTTAAAATGGCTTGGAACCAGTTATAACCAGCTTAAAACCGGTTCAAACCGGTTCTTGGCTTGTCTGAGGAAGTGAATCTGCCTATGAACAGAGAAGGAGATCAACGTGGTAACGCACCAGCCAATCAACTCGCTGATTATAGTCCAAATTGACCAATACGATTGCAGGGACGCAAACAGCAAAATCAAACAGAACTATAAAAGCCCAGTCACAATGGAGACCGGTCGTTCCCCAGAATTGCATTGGCGATGTTGCCTGTGCTGGACACGAAACGTCTGTGAATAGCACTTCCAGCTAGCGGGAACAGATCAGCAAGAACATAACTAATCTGCTGAAGGAAAGTTATGTAGGCTGATTGAGAAGTAGAGTAAGGATGTCATTGAACTACATTTCTTCACATAGTAACTCGACGGAATGCTTAAAAATCTCATCCAGAGGCAACACAGATGAACAGATAAAAAGCATTGCAAATGAAGGATATTGTTTATGAGTTCGAATTTCAAAAGATAATCTCTGCTATTTGCACATGCAGTCGACAATATTATATGATCAATGAATTCCGCTCTGTACACTTCAGAGATGTAGTGAATAGGTAAGTCTGTCATAAAACATGAGTTAGACAATGTTTGAAGTAGAATTAGAAAATGCAGAGGAATCAATCAAGAAGTATCGCTTTTGATAAAGCTCTGGAAAGTCTTGAAGATTACTAAGTTTCTGATTCTGAGTCAGGATTAAGCGGTTTTGGTTGCGATCCCGAGTTTTATGTTCGAATCTCACTACCGCAGCCTAACTAACCGCGTTTTTTGTTTTTGTATCGTAAAATTGACGACCAATTGGTTATTTGTGATTATCTGAAAATTGTTCTACAACTTAGTATTCGATAAAAAAATAATAGCAATTATTGATGAAAGATATTCGACCAATCCGCGTTTGCATGTTTCCTTGCATCAAGCCTCTTTCCTCGCCAGCTTAGCACCGGTCTCCAGGCTCATTGATTTGGTTCTAAACCTATCGAACCTCTTACATAATATTAATAAAAGATTCGACTGATTCAACTACACAAAACGCTTTATCGTTTACCTGAACAAGGTAGATTCGATTTCTTTGTGCATCATGAATTTCACAATACACAGCAAAGTCAACTCCTCCTCTATTAGAATGCAACGCGTACATGACTAGTAAAAATCATTTCATATATCCCTTTTTCAACCATTTGATTAGTTGCTTTTGCCGCCATTTACCTCCCAGTCTGGATAATAAAATTTAACGGGTCTCATTACAACGGTACGTGATGTGGCAAGTTATCATGGGTGTTATAGAAATCGGAAGATATGCCCCAAGTCACATGCAGTCTCATGCAGTCACATTGACTAATTAACTGCAGATCGCATTCGTGTGCCTAACAGGCTTCGGTCACGTGATCCCGATTCGAACATACACGCACACCGAATTTGCACTTCGCGTGCCCCAATTTCGTGACAGACGTGAACTGCACGTATTGCATTTAAATCACACAGAAGCATGATCCACTCGAATGACTGACACCACTTTCGTAGTGATGTGAAATTCCAGGGTTATCCTTAACCGTCACTCGTTTTCTTTTGTTTCAAACCGTCGAATGCAGTTCCAGAATGATCCCGGAAATCATAAAAGTGATACTTGAGGGAGACAAGTTGTCAATTGGTAGGGAAAAGTGGTTCAAAAAAAACATTGCCCCGTAATCTTGGGGTTAACTTTTCTCCTGAATCTGTCCACCAATCAAATTTTGCGCTTTCTGTCAATGGTAAAACCATGCAGCCACTAACTCCATGTTTATCTTTTGCCGAAAGTGAACATTATGAATCATAAGTGAAGTTTCGATCAAATTACTCATCAAGTGAAATGTTGCTGGGCTTCAGAGATGTCTCCAGACGTCCATATTGGACATGCGTAGCTGGTATTCTGATAGAGTTCAATGGGGCGGTGATGGCCAAGTGGTATTTGGTCATCAACTAATGAGTGATTTGGGTGTCCCGGATTCAAACCGCTTCACTGCCGTCCGTCTTTCATATATCTATATTTTCCCCTGGTAGCCTTTGTATGGCTGCAGCCCCCTTTCTGAAAGTTGACTGTACATTTGTATATTCAATAAACTGAAAAGGAAGCGAAAAGACATTAAAACATCAAAGTGGGCGGAAAAGAGCACATCCACATGACATTTCATTTCTTCAGCCAATTCATTCTTTTAAACTTCCAACTGAAAGTATCCGTGAGGTGACAATTGTTTCTCACAAACCATCTCTTAGATGGCACTTATAAGTGTAGTGATCATCTTTCAAATGAATAGCAACTAATCGTAGTTCTCGTTTTTCGATTCACTCCTTCATAGCTAGCTATGAATTGATCGAAATTGTTGATCCGTCGCCCGATGTAGACGTAGGTCCTTGGCTGGCGTCATCTCTAACATCAGAACACAAGTCCGAAGGCGAACAACTGTTTTCGAATGATTCATAATCGTGCCTGTACAGATCATATAAGGGTTTGTTGTTAGTGGGGACACATTTTCACGCTGGGTCAAAGGGTCATTTGGGATGAGGAGAGGAGAGGGGAGAGGTAGGCTCTGTGTCTGTGTTCGGGTGAGACTGATTGTGATTGGAGTGGTGGTGGTGATGTTGATGATCAATTTGGGGCCAGGGTAAGTGGAGAGCTTGAACCAGTCGCTTTTGTGCACATAGTTCTGGAGCGAATAGGCGAATGCCTATCGCCTCAGCGGTGGCTAGTGTATGTAAGCGCACTGCTTTGGAGGGGTTGAGGGGTACACGATAGATTACGTTGAAAGCCGATTCCGGTCTAATTTGATGACCTGTATCTACTAGATGACCAAGAATGGCACTTCCTATGCNCTTCCTGTTCCTCCTTGTTTTAACCAACGTGGGCAGTGCTCCTTCATCCGTTGGGATAGTTGCCTCGCCGTGCGGCCAATGTACGTCGCATCTCTAACAGCTGACTCACCTTAATAAGTCTATAGTTCATTCTATTGAAGCACTCTTTGCGAGCATCAACCTTGAAACTATTTCTCATAAAAGTGTGTCAGCCGTGTGTGTGTGTGCATATGTGTGTGTGCTTATGTGTGTGTGCTTATGTGTGTGTGTGTGCTTGTGTGTGTGTGTGTAAAATGATCGACCTCGACTACCGAGTAGCTGCAACCGATGACCAGTGCCAACTGCTTTTATGTCATCCTTGGGGGTTGAATCCTTCAAAATTTCTGGTTGGGAGAAGAAACCGCGTCAGCCGAGTCATACAGTGCACAGCTAACAGTGAGTAACACGTGCCTGGAATTATCATGCCCAAGAATAATTGGCACTTCCCTATCATATACAATTAGAGAGGACTGAACTGATCTTGTGACAATTGGCCAGTTGCATTCATCTATGCTTCTTCGTTGCACAAAATAAAGCATCGAAAGCTCGTTGATACTCTTGTATCGATTCAGTCAGAAGCGGGACCTGTATTCTTGATGCCATCATCATTTTGGCTGTTATTCGACATGACATCCACTCCAGTTGATGACCAAAAACAAGCACTTTCTATCCGTCACGTGATCACATGACGCCTGGTCTGAAAGTTACGAGAACGATCACGATGTGTCATCACAAAGAGCACAGGGCAAATGACATGGAAGTCAGATTAAAGCCCAAATGCCTGGACTCGATCTTAGACCATACGGTATAGAAACAGCGAAACTAACATGCGTGCCATACTTTTGGTTGAGTTTACGTACAGGTATTGACCTATGAATACGGTTGTAGACGGTGGTTTATGAACACTGGATGCACACGGGGAAACGTACGCTTAGAAACATATCAAGATCGTTTGCCTCCGGGGTGGATTGGAGCATTCGCACGGAGCATAGCACACGCGCATGCACACGAATGTGATGAACAGGTGGTAGACTGAAATACATATTTTTATTCCAGAATAAAAATCAGAACCGGATAATATTCTGAAAGCCAGTTTGGTCCGTTTCTGTCTTTGAATTCCATGCCATCTGATCTGTTCTGTTGATGTAGTGTAAATGAACCCTACTGATCCCAACGGGTATCACTCGTAGATTCAACTCATTTGTTTCCGAAAATACTCCAGTTTAATAGGAATCAGACTGTTTTGTTTCGGGTTTTCCTTTTTTCCCCCAGACTTTTCGTATTCATGATTCCACTGCAAAAATCTACTACAAACGGATTGGAGATCCCCAGGACACGGAGAAACATTTCCTGCACAACGTGACCGACGAGGATGAGGAATTTGAAATACTTTCTGCCGAGCCCGAATGAACGTACAGACAAACACCGGGAATTGGTATCTGCAATCCGCTTTCCGCCAGTCCCATCTGTCGACTTCCGGTGCGAGTGCGATTGCTTGACGACTGCTTGATCTGAATGACTGACCGGATTGATCACACTTAAATAAATTGATTTCGGCATTTGATGATAAACAATAAAATTTTACATCAGTACTTATTTATCTGTCTGAATTCACGGAGTATACACACACACACACACACACACAAAACTAACTGTAATATTATTCTTGCCGTTCATAGACAGTCGCGCGGCCTTCGATTTTGTCGATGGGATTGCACTATGGACCTGTTTGTTGAGGAATGGACTGCCTGAGAATTAGGTGTCGATCCTCACAGTTCAAAGTCAAAGTTTTATTATGAAAAATACTTACAAGCTCATGCTTCTCTTGGCCCCATAGGATATTTGCACACAGTACTTTACTTTACTACGGCTGGCTCCTTGGAGAGGATAAACCGGCTCCGAGAATGTCTCCGATTGCCGCCGTAGAAGACAGGATCATGAGTTTGATACGAGAAACGTCTTCAGTGTCAATCGGCGCTTTTTATTTTGAGGGTGCACCTCTAACCTNACAACCCAGTGCGAACTGCAAGTGATCTCTCGTTTCGGAAGTGAGGGAGTAAAGACTTTATTTTTTAAAGGCCAGTCACATCGACCTTTGTCACGACACCGTCTTTGGGCTGATTCAGCTTTTAACTAGGAAACAGGTGACTAACCTGAAACCCACACACCCTGTTAATGCTACTGCGCTTTGTTCGGGACTGCTTATTTGTTGCCGTATACCACAACTTATTCACAGCTAATCTTCTTCGGTGAAGGTATCCCCCTATCCACAACCCGAAGACGCGCCTGGAACCATTCAGCTCTGCTTAACTAGAAGGTATCCAGGAAACTGCACAGCAACTGCGTTGGGGTTCGAAACCACTCATGCACACCATCTACGATCTTGTATAGCGCAAGCTCTACCAGCTGAGCAATGGGGTCGTACCTTTGTGTTCAGAATGAGTGTTTATAATGCATAATCGGTTGTGTGCTTCCAGGGAAATTTTGTCCAGTCATTCACATACTACTTATTATCAAGTATATATATATATGTGTGTGTGAGTCATACACAACAGAGAATGCTGTTGATCAGGACAAGATTTCGGCCCTGTCATGCTCAGATATTCCCGAATTTTATGCTTGCATCTCTGGAGCTGCAAGCAGGACGAAAGAAAAAAGTTACGTCTTAATCATCGACCATCAGCGAAATGATAAGTTAAAACGAGAGATTTAAAAATCCATTGGGATGAGGAATCAAACTAGTGCAGCGATAACAGCTACCTATGGGATTCACATCACAGATGAAGTTTCATTTAAACGTTATACGCTTCACCAAGGAAAATATGGGGAAATATAATGGGAGAAGAGGAAATGTTCAGCCTTACACAATTCAGTGTTGTTGACCCAAACCCAAGTTTGCATACACCCATTCCAGCGGTACCTTGAATGCCCTTGCTTATCTTTCCCTCTTGGTTTAATCCACTCTTTATAAGAAAAGCAAGGTTTTCCTTATGTTTTCGAGGCCATACAGTGATACCTTCAACACGACTGATTAGCAAATATTGTTAAATCTCTCTCATCAGGCAGTGTTCAATCTCCTACGTTTGAACTCTTGGTCAACTACCTCTCCAACCGTCAGTAGGTCACATCCTACAAAAGTCGTACATCTTCACTGCTGCCCGCCTCACAGACGGTACTATGAGGCTCTGTTTTAAGTCCCTTCTCTATTTTCCGGCTTACATTTCCTCTATGGCTGTGAGCAATTTTTCTCTTCTTGTTAAGTATGCAGAGGATATAATATTCGGATTGGCCTACAGCAACTCATCATTTCAAACCACTCAACTAGAAGACATGTGAGAAACAGTTGAACGGTCTCAATTAAGAGACCCCGGAAAATGTAATGACGCAATTTTTGCCATTGGAAAGGTCAAAAGTATGATGAATTATCAGATGCTAGCCCCCACCTTTATCTATTTTCAGTGACCAGATAGAACGAAAGCCGTTTGTCAAATACCTAGGCATTATTTTCAACCGTAACCTCACCTGGTTTGACCACGTTAATGACGGTTTTTTGAAGGTCAGGTGGCTCACATTTTATGTTTCACGTCTTAAATCACTTTGTATCCCAAATCATCTTACAGGTTGTTTCGTTCTTGTTTGCGTTTTGCACCGCTGCCTTTTTAGATCCAGTGTGATCTTCCTCGGTATTTTTAACAAGGACCTCCAAGCATTCCTATACGGATCTAATACTATGAGCACAACGCACAATTTCTCCAAAGAAATCCGTTCCAACTTTGGATGTGATACCGTGGCCTCAAACTCATTTCCCGATCCCTCAAGTTTCTGTCAACATGTAGTCTTATACCACGGGAACATCTGGTGCAGTATGCGGTGACACATCACATCAAGTCATGTAAAACATTCTCCAATAGGATTTTATCTGATATTTCCCACCCGCGTTTATTCTGCTCTTAGTCAGTGCCCGTTAAAGTCTTAAACGTATAAAGACACGTACTGAAGCTTACAGACACTATTGTACCAGATTTCACCAGATTTCTTGCAAACCATGAGCTCGTTTCAAGAAATCCGCACAAAATGCCAAACTAACACAATGATAAGGAGCCTTATATGCCATTGGTTTTTTGATGTTGATGTGTATTTCATTTCTTTTAGTTATTGCATAACATTCCGCATTTTTTAATTGTTGACATACGCTTTGGTTACGTGGTTGCTGAATATTCACCTTGGAGGTGTAAAAAACGATTCATTGAATTGGCTTGACTTAGGAAACGTATGATTTATCCCAAATTCTTCAATTCAAGGAAACACTTGGTCGTTCATTGAATGTTAAGCTTTTAACAAATCAATAGATAAGATTAGAACAACAAATTTGGGAAAGCATGACAAACAGCATCGTGCATCAGTGGTTTTCTATATATTTCGCAACTTTTTGAGGCCAGACTGTGTGCCAAACAAATCATGGTACACTAATCTTTCCGAAAAAGAAAAATGTTCCATGATTTGCATGTGGACTGAATACCGCCAGGTTGCCCAGGTGACTTTTCTCGGAGAATCCACCACCGGAGCCTTTGGCTAACCAAAGCCTGATTCGCAATGCAGTGGGGCGGTGTGTGAAAACCGCAGTCCGTCAACAGCCGGCGTCCAGTTCATCAGATCATTCGCCTTTTGGACGGGGTCAAACGTCCAAGGAGCCCAATACACCTCGATGCCCAATCCAGCCGGTGACCACAACCCCCACAACCGGGAAGGTGTGTGTGGTTCGCACGACTTCTCATGGTTGGTTTGGAATTGGGGTTTTTGGCCAACCCTCCTAGGTGAACCACCGGTGGTCCACCAAACCGGTTATAGCCCCGGATGGCGACTTGTCGTCCTCTCACTTTTGAGGGAAAACACCTCCACCATGGGAAGTCATTGAGTAGGTCTTTCTCAGTAGAATGGGCTATTCGGACACTTGGTCGTATGCGAGCATTTGTTTCTAGGTTCAACGAAAGGGTGACGAGCCACAACCTTAGACAACCATCCCCGAACATACTGAAACAATGTGAAATACTGCTAATTGATAAGTATAATCTCTTCGAACACGGTAAATCATCTCAGTGTTGTTCGTGCAGGAAAAAATGTTTACGGGGACCGCTAAAATCAGTAATGAGTTGTAAAAGTCAGGATTTTTCCTTTCGCTAATACAATACAATATCGTAAAACTTTAATATTTGAATTATTATTTTCAAAGTCACCAGCATTGATAGAACTGTTTGAGGACAACGACAGCCTACGAAACCATGCATTCAGATATAATGCGGAGTAAAATCGCACAAAGTGTAATAATATCAAAGGACAGTGCTCGGTTGAGAAAAGTTATTCATTACGAATAACGGTCAGGTGATCGATAATTTGTCATTCATATAACAAAATAACTCATTTGGAAAGCCTCTTCACTGACACACACACACAAGATAGCTGAGGGAAAGGTCTACTATTAGATACGCATTTTCGTAGTTACCCTACTTAACAGCAGCAATTCGCTCCAGCAGGTCTTGTTCACTTTTGATCGTTTTGCGAACTACTCACAAGTGTAAGTCGTATCTCACAACAATCTACATGCAGAGAACATTGACATCTTTCTTTTGAGAATTCGAAAGGGTCCGCATTCGGTTGACAACTTCTTATGGTTTCATGGCTGATTTCTGGTAACCTGGCCAGTAGATTGACGTTTGGCTATGGTCTCAGCGCCACACACTCATGTCACCATTCGCCTCGTGAACTTTGTTCGCTCGGATGCTTTTCGTTCCAATCTGAGGAGTAACTTTATTGCACCAGGATTGCTCGCAGGGCCTCCGATGTGGTACTTGTACTTTGTTTCCAACACATTCAGAAGTGCCCTTGGCATCTGTTTCACCGGCAATCTTAACTTGCTCATCGTTTTGTTGCGCAGTTTGACAAATATTTTGCTTGTCCGTCGTGTTCTCAACTTGTAGCTGGAACTAACTCTCTTCCGATTTCAGTTGTTCGTGTCCCAACCGTCGATTCACTCGAGTCTCGGCTCGATAAAAAATTGGAACACCTAACTTTGGAGTACTCTTGAGTGGAAGTTATGATCTGCTATTTATTCGTACTGCCAACTGAACCCGGTGTGTGTGTGTGTGTGTGTGTGTGTGTGTGTGTGCGTGTATTGAATATATATATATGTGTGTGTGTGTGTGTACAGATCCTATGCGATTCAATCGGCATCAGCTTTGTAATTCACCCATATTTAAAATTTGACTTTATAAAAATTCGTTTTGCATTCCACACCATCTCCGAATGACAAGTGACAAGCCATTTTCAATACTGTATGAATAGTGTTGAGTACACTGCCACTCAAGACTGACCAAATAAATTTGAATCAAATTGTTCCCGACATCGTTGCGTGC